TATAATAGTATGTATCTATATATATTATATATATATATATATATATATATATATACATGTAAACATATACATATATATAAAGGTAATCAGTTGATGCATAGTACTCACCACATACAATCCAATATTGCCAACCCCTTGACTGCAGGTGCGTCTCGCGGCATACAAAGCTATCTGCGCTGCGTGGCTACCCGACCGCCCCACCCAAACACAATTCGCAGACTCACTAGCTACTCACCTGGTATCCAACGCCGGTCTGAATGTGTGGAGCATCAAGATCACCATCATGAAGTGCCTGACGAGTGTGTTGTACCGGCTGCCCTTGCGTGTCCTGAGTGAGGGTACGCTCGATAGAGTGCTAGGCACAATCTCCGAAGCCGTGGCCGATGGGAAGTACTCGCAGCTGCGGGTAGCGGCACTGAAGGCTCTGACTGTGCTGCTCGGCGTGTGCTCGACCAAAGCCAGCACACCGACGCCTGCAGCAGATACCGCAATGGACACCGGTACCAATACCGGGACGGTTGCTAGCGCGGGTTCTAAATCTGCTACTGGCGGAGTGGGTGCGGTTAATGTGGATCTCATCAGTGTGGACACCGGTGCGGTGGTGGAAAGTGAGGCGAGTGATGTATTGGGCCGAGAAAGGCTCATGTCAATTGTGACGAGTCTGAGGGATCGCAAGATGGATGGCGATCCGGATGTGAGACGCTTTAGTGAAGCTTTGCTGCCGTTGGTTACTGCAGCATTGCAGTAGTAAGTATTAGTTAAATAAATCCGGGGTTTTTTATATAATGGAACTCGTCAAGGACTTATCTTATGTGATATGTAGTGCACGGGTGTCTATCTGGAGGACCAAGCATGCGCATATACACCAAGTAGGGCCCGAAAGGTCGATAGTACTCGGCTTCATATGTGTGCGTGTGTGTATACGAATATATATAAACAAACACTACCACGTGAAGTTCATGAACTGAAGATGTGATTATATACCTGTATTTTTTTGTCAATTTACCTACCCCATCCTTTGTTTAGAGGCCTATATACAAAGTTTGTTGTGCTATTACAATATGATTATATATATATATGTATATATATATATATATATATATATGTATGTATGTATGTATGTA